CCGCCATTAAAGACTGAAAACTGAGTAACAATGCTTAGCAAAAATCAGACAAGTAACAATATTAATGAACCGTTAAATACAATATTCGCCTTCATTTCAGCAATCACAAATGTGTGGAGCTTGGCTCTCCCAGCTGCTTCACGGAGTGCAGGTTCTTGGAGACTTAAAGCTTATCTGCTGGGCCCCCAGTGCCCAAGTACACCCCGTGCACCCCAGCCTTCTGAGCGGTCAGGCCTGAAGAATCGCATGCTCCCGGCAGCCCTCACGCTGCCAAGAGGTCGATGGTTTCTGCAAGCCATTCGAAACACAGGTCCTGCCGACACCGGCAGGGCAAAACCCCGCACCCAGCTGTCCCTTTCTATTTTCGGAGGGCAATTCTGGCTGCTACGAAGAAGAGGGATATGCTGCTATGAAAACCGACCACGCTTCTCAGCTCCCTGGTCGAAGCACCTCTAACCCACAGGCCTGGCCAGGATGGTTCAGGGGCTTTCCCAGCTGATGCCCTCTCCCGCGCTTGAGTAAGGTCTGGGGACATCCACAAGCTGGACCTTTGGGTGGCTACAGCAGAGAGAACAAATTAAAAATGAAACAACTAACGTTTGCAGGCAAAGACTCTCCTGACTTGTTAAACAGATTTAGGGCTATTTTTGGTCTGCTCTTAAAAAGGGCAAAGGACACGAGCGCCTGGGTGGCTCAGTCGGTTAAGCCGCTGCCTTCAGCTCAGGTCATGATCCCGGGGTCCTGGGATCGAGCCCCGCATCGGGCTCCCTGTTCAGTGGGAAGCCTGCTTCTCCCTCTCCCTCTGCCTGCCTCTCTGCCTACTTGTTCTCTCTCTCTGTCAAATAAATGAATAAAATCTTCAAAAAAAAAAAAAAAAAGGGCAAAGGACGGATGGCCTGCTGGATGCCAATTTGCAGAAACAAACTCCTTCCTCAGCTCAGGGCTCAAAATACAGCCCAGCCAAGTTTTGGCTATTACTGCCAGTATGCAGAGTAAAACCATAGAAGGTCAAAATGTAGAAAGCCAAGGGAGCATCTAAACATCATATCATTCTTGGCCCACATGGACGAGTGGGTATTTTTGAAATGGCTTAACAACGGATTTCAGCTGGCTTCACTCTAGTACAATGGGATTAATATGTAATAAAATGATGTTCTGGCCATCTACAAAGGAGGTCATTTCCCACCAATCCCAGCATGCACCATAATCCCAAGGCAGCAAAAGCTCTGATGCTGGAAAGAAAAGAGAAGAAGGAAAGCTCATCTGGCATGATAAATTGGGCTGCCTTGGCCTGGCTGCCAAGCATATGCCGCATTTCTCTTTCATATGACTCTAACTGGACCGCTGGTGGACCGGATAAATTCCCCTACGGTTCTCTGGCTCCAACATCTAAGCGTGGCCATTCCCTTCATGGAGAATGCTGGCAAATCCTAACATTCTTGTCAGTCTTAAAATTGGAGACTTTTCTTGAAAACAACCCTCTCCCCTTCATTATTTGAGGCAGGTGAGCATGGGAGGAATGACTCCAATTTGCACCGAGCAGTGCATTCGCTGCTCTGAAAACATCTGACTGATCCCAGATTACGTGAAACAAAGGCCTGGACCCACAGCTCCTAGATGGACCCAGGATGGTGGGAGTTTTCTGCAATCACAGCTCTGGGAAGAAATAAAACTGCAAGTGAACTTCAGAGCCACAGCATCACACTCACCATTGGACCAGCTCTTGGAAGAACGACGGAATTCTGCAGACCCAGTTAAAAACAAAACAAACCCCCCCCCGTCATTCCCAGGGCAAAGAGAAAAATAGCAGCAACGAAAGGAAAACATTCAAAGAAGTAATTTCTAGGACTGGTCATAGGACCTTGTACAAAACCAGCCCAAACGCCCCTCATACACTACGGTGCAGAGCAGGGACCTTGAAGCAAGGCCATTAATCAAAAAGAGGCTTTTGAAGCATGTCAGTAGAGTTTTAACGAGGTGTGCTTTACCAGATCCTAATTCGGCGAAAAGCCATGCTCCATTTCCATTCTGACATTCATCATACTTCAAATTAAAAAATTAATGAGAACACCGATTCCCCAGCCCATTCTGGATGATGGGAATCTACTATGGCCTCCTGTTCAGCCTCAGGAGGTAGAAGGGGCCCAAGGCTGGCCTCCACACAACCTGGCGAGGGGCAGTCGGCGCCTCTCCAGCCCCCCCACGGAGCAATGGACAAAAGTGAACTGCTAATCCCACGTGGCCCGGCTCTGAGGAGGGGCTGTCTTTCAGGTCTCCAGGGCTGCTGCTGTTGTTTTTAATTACAGGAACTCTAAATTATTCTCCATAAAACAGATGTTGTAGTATTTTAGATTACTAATGAATTATTTAACACTTTGCCCCCTAACAGTTCAGACGGACACGTCAGGAAGACACACCGCATTTAATCTGTTGTTCTGGGTGTGAGCGAGTCACGCAAAGGGGCCCAGCAGAGTTACCCCTGCAGAAGGAACTGGGACTCCTGGGGCTGCCTGGCTTCTTCCTCAGGGTCTCAGTCATACAAAAGAGGTGAAGTGGTCCTAGGTACATTCAAGGGGGACTGTGAAAACCCGCTGAAGCACTAACACAAACCACCGCGTCCAGCTCAGTCCTGGGCACACGGCAGGTGTTGGCATCTGTCGGCTGTCGAACCTGCAACCTGGGTCTGCCTCCATCCCCCTCTCCAGCCACGTTCTGCAGAAGACAAAGTTGCAAGGGGAAAGGCAGTGCGTTCTGACGGTAACCTGTGGGCGGCCACACAGCACGTCCCCCCTCAGCGACAGGAACAGTGTGGTACTTTGAGCGGGGCCCAAGGAGCCTCTGCCAACCGCATGCCAGGGCCGACCTGGGGGAGCACCCGGTGTGTGGCTGAGGGGAGAGACAGCTCCTAAGGTTCTCCCTCACTCACCATCAGGGCTGCGGTTTTCCGGCCGGGCCCAAGTACCTGTGCCAGACCCAGCAGAGGCAGCAGCTGAGCGGGTTCCTGTAAAAGCAGCTCTGTGCCCGTTTCCGAGATCAAGACTGACCAGGGGGATCGCAGAGAAAACACACTTCCGTTGCCATAAGAACAAAACAGGCTGTTAAACACCAAGAAGGCTCTCCTGAGAAAAATTCAACCATTTCTTCTCTGTTCGGTTGACTTCCAAAATACAGTAATAGCTAAATTGGCACACTAGGTTTAAACTCAGCCAAGCATGCTCTCATGCTGAGTTTAAAGACAAAGAAGCCTCTGCCGCTGACCCAATTAGGGATCGGATCCCACCATCAGCCTTCGCCCGCCTCTGCCACATACGATCAAGCAAAACTCTCTGACCAAGAGAAACGTGAAGCAACACAGCACGCCCCAGGCCGCTGCCCCGTAGGGCTGGGAGTCACATCAGGCCAAGCAAGCAAACCGCACAGCACGGTGCGCTGCGCACCAGGCTCAAGCGAGTGGGGGACGACGACAATAACCACCGCCCCAAGTTCAAGCCCTCCCTCTGACCTGCAAGGACCCCTTGCGACTGTCCAACTGTGTACGTCAGGTTTCCCAGCAAAGACTGCTTTCGCTCGACACCCCCCACCTACCCCGCCCCATCCCCCAACTCACATGCTATACAAAACCAGATCTAACCAATCCCGTGTTTGGGCCGATGCTGAAAAACCAGGCGGTCTCACTCAAACGCCAAAAGTTCGGCTTCTCCAGACAAGTCGGAAATCAAGTCACAGAGGATCGTCCTCCCACAGGGCAATGGCGAGCAGCTGGGGCAAAGGGGGCACTGCCCTTCCAGACGGGGCCTGCCACCACAGCCCTCGCCCGCACTCAGCCCGCTGCGGGGGCTGATGGCGCCTCCCTGGCTCTGGTTCTCACCCCATTCCGCACACAAGACAGGCTACGCTCTCTTCTTTCACACTCACCTCACACGTCGTCGTGTCAGCCGGGACCCATCACGTCTTTAAGTCTACCTTCCTCCCATCACGAGGGCTACTGACCTCAAGAAACCTCCCCCTCCGCACTGGGGGGCGTGTCACCGGCACAGGCTGGCGCGTTCACCCCCCTCATCCGGCGGTGCCTGTAAGCACGCGGAGTTGTGACGACAGGCCACGGACAGCTGCGAAGTCCTCTCTCTGAATGACACGAGTCTCGGGCAAGAATGCTTCTCCTAGTACCATTGCTCTCAAGTCAGACGGTGGAATGAAGCATCACTACAGCATATGGACACATTTCAAACCATTACTGTAAAAGACACCTGGTCACCGAGTCATGGCTGGCAGCGGATCATCACATCCCAGGAGACAGGGGTGCAGCGAACACAACAGAGGACTCGGCACCAGAGCCGGAACGCACTGGCCAAATAAGCTAGTAACTCAGTTGGCCTCTTGGGGACTGATTTTAGCTTATCTTACTTCTTTTCAATATTTTCCATCGCTTTATAGATTTTACTTAAATATTTTGAGACATTTCAAGTAATATTATGGTGCCAGTTAATCTGAGGCATCATTTTGAGACCAGTTATTCTGAATTTTAAAAAAATACAGATTTAAAAAATAGATGTGATGAGCTCTTTGACAGCTGACTTTTGTGTTTTGTACTGGTCAAAGAAGTGAAGCCCCGTGAACTATTTTATAGGGTAGATTTTGTACTGTCTTGGCTGCAGGGACTTCCACAACAGCAAAGAAACAAAGGAAGCCTGGCACCAGGCACTGCTGAATGCCCACTGGGTGTGTGTGGCCTCTTCCTCCCCATGCTGAAATGCAAGCTTCTGGAGACTGAAAACATGTAGCTGGAGCAAGGGGACAGAGATCAACTTCTGAGCTCCTATCTTGGACTTTCTTAACCCAGCTGGCTCTGAGAGACAACCGCAGGGAGGACTCTCAGAAGTGGGTGGTGGTGGTGGTGGAAGGTTTCTTCTGGGTTTGGAACACCTCATGGGAAAAAGGCACACAGAGGCAATCAATTATGAGCCACAGCCCAAACGAAACCATATGAACAAAGCTCGTACCAGGTCGATCAGGTCACTGAGGTTCTTCTCGATTTGCTGTGGAGGCAGGCGCCTCATCAAGTCCAAGGCACAGTCCAGCTGCTGGTCACTCTGTGAAAAGAGAAATAGAAGTATCTAGGTCATTTTGCCAATAGAAACACTGAAACCCCTTTTTAAAAAGCATCCTTGGGGCACCTGGGTGGCTCAGTCGGTTAAGCATCTGCCTTGGGCTCAGGTCATGATCTCAGGGTCCTAGGATCGAGCCCCTCGTCAAGGGCCTCCTGCTCAGCAGGGAGCCTGCTTCTCCCTCTCCCTTTGTCCTCCCCCACCCCCCAGCTTGTGCTCACTCACTCTCAAATAAATAAAATCTGGGGGGGACAGGGGGAGCGTCCTTGCAGTTTCAGCTTGCCCAGGGTATTCTCCCCCGCCCCGCAGATATTCTAACACCAAGCAGGCCCACAGTGGGCCCTCCAACACCTCCTGGAGAGTGGGGGGACGAGCTCTGTGACAGCACCATCTATCTCACGTGGAGATGTGTGGAAGATACTCAAAGTGGGAAGTGGGCCGGAGTTCCACCCACACCTCAAAGCCTCCTCGGCTTTCCTTTTCCAATTCAACGGACCACGGGAGATGCAAATGTGTTACCTCCTGATCGGCCCTGCAAGGGAGCATGCTCGAGCAGCAAGTTAGGCTTTCTCCTGGACATTCGAGCCAAGTTAGGCTTTGTTCTGGACATTCGAGCCAGGTTCCTTGATGAGCCCCAGGCCAGGGACAAAGCCAGGCAAAGAACAAGTGGCAAGATGCGCACCAAGGTTAAAGTGCTTGTCATTCAACTGAAGCCTGGGACGTGTCCCCACGTGCCAGTCCCTTGCAAAGGCAACTGAGACCCGGAGCATCTCCAGTGGAAGAGGTGGCTCCAGCTGCAGAGTAGACAAGTGTGGCAAACTGGGGTCACTGCTGCTGCAGGGGCCCAGGAGGATAAAGACCACACTGTGTGCTCCCAGGACTCGCCTCACTGGACATTCAGGCTGCAAATATTTACTCAGAGCCACCACGCGCCAGTCATCATCAATATGTGATCAATGGAGGCGGGAGGAGGAGGAGGGAACAGAGTGGGGGTAAAGTGAGAGTAAATTCAGTGCCCAGCGGGCTGCGACACAAAAGGCTAGACCTCAGGAGGTATGGCAAGAAAGGTGAGTAAGGTGGCCACGGCAGAGCAGGAAAGACCATGGCACGCTCCCCGCCGCCACCCTGAGAAGTACAGCTGAGGCAGCCGACAATCCCATCAGAGGCACCGTTCTCACATGCCCAGACCAATCTCAGAATCTTCAAAAGACCTAAATCAACATGCTAAAGAATCTTCATAAAATATATAAAATAATCCTGGAAATGCCATAATCGACTGTAATGAAAAAGAACCTTTGAATACGACCATCTACACTCCAGGGATATTAACCACAAACAGGCTATGGGACAAGGACCCACTCTGTATTTCACCAAAGAACTAACACATCAAGTTAACTGGAGGCTATTTCATTCCCATGTAACTGACTGGACATACAGAGCAGGCTGGGGTTTTTTTATTTTTTATTTTTTTAAAGATTTTATTTATTTATTTGACGGAGAGAGACAGTGAGAGAGCAGGCTGTTTTTTAAAAAGAAACAACAAACCTGCCCCCTGTTGAAGGTGGTTATCAGGGACAATTTATTCTGGGATACACAACAAAGTGGCTACACACACTCACTCCCCCCAGAAATGGTGTAGCACTTGTTCTGTCTGGTGACACATTCTAGCAACCATGAATTCCCTGCTGGTGCCATGCCTTCTATGCCGGCCGATGCCACGGTGACAAGAGTCTGGCCTGCTGGCATGGGAAGACATTCTCACACCCCTTCAAGGGTTGAGGACACAGACAAACTGAGTTGCCACGAGAGAGACTTGTATTCGATTTCCAGTCCTGCCATTCATTAACTATAACCTTGGGCAAATTTCTTAACCTCTCCAAGCCTCTATGTATCCATAAAATGGGGACAGTCATAGGGTTGTTGCAATGACTCAGTATCTGTGACATTCTTAATATACAGTGGTATGTGTTTGGGAGCATTTTCTGTGTATGTGTATAAATACATGTTTTAAATATTTTAAAAACATTTTAAAATATATATATATATATATATTACAACATTTGCCCCACTCAACCCAACCCTGAAATCTTTCCTGTTGCTATAAACTGGAGCTCTGGGGCGCCTGGGTGGCTCAGTCGGTTAAGCGACTGCCTTCGGCTCAGGTCATGATCCTGGAGTCCCGGGATCGAGTCCCGCATCAGGCTCCCTGCTCGGCAGGGAGTCTGCTTCTCCCTCTGACCCTCCTCCCTCTCATGCTCTATCTCATTCTCTGTCTCAAATAAATAAATAAAATCTTTAAAAAATAAAAATAAAAAAAATAAAAAAATAAACTGGAGCTCTGTGCTCAAACTCCATAACAGCTGTGTATCCCCACCCCTACCCCCACAACGGTGCCGGAAGAGAACACCCTAAATGATTCCAAACTAGTTAAAAGATGTAAACTAATGAGCCAAAGACCTAAACATACACCTCCCTAAAGAAGACTTACAGATGGCAAATAAAGAATATGAAAAGATGCTCCATATCATTTGTTACCAGGGAAATGCAAATTAAAGCAACAATGAAATCCCATTATATACCTATGAGAATGGCCAAAATCCAGGACTCTGATTGCTGACAAGGATGTGGAGCAACAGGAACTCTGACTCACTGCTGGTGGGAACGAAAAATGGTATACAACCAACTCCGAAGACAGTGTGGCAGTTTCTTACAAAACTAAACATAGTCTCACCATACGATCCAGCAACTGCACTCCTTGGTATTTACCCAAAGGAGCTGAAAACTTATTTCCATACAAAAACTGGCACACAAATGTTTATAACAGCTTTATTCACAACTGCCAAAACTTGGAAGCAACCAAGATGTCCTTCAGCAGGTAAATGGATAAACAATGTGTAGTCCATCCAGACACTGAAATATTATTCAGCGCTAAAAAGAAATAAGCTATCAAGCATGAAAAGACATGGAGGAACCTTAAATGCATATGACTAAGTGAAAGCAGCCAGTCTGAAGAGGCTACATACTGTATGATTCCAACTATGTGACGTTCTGGAAAAGGCAGAACTATGGAGACAGTCAAAAGATCAGTGGTTGCCAGGGACTGAAGGGGAAGAGGATTTTTAGGACGGTGAAGCTACTCTGCATGCTACTCTCACGGTGGATGTGCATCATTATAAATCTGTCCAAGCCCACAATCTGTACAACACCAAGAGTGAATCCTAGTGGAGACTACGGAGTGAGTGACTATGATGTGTCCGTGTATGTTCCGCAGCTGTTAACGCCGGTGGGGAAGGCTGTTTTTAGTGGGAAGGCCATGCATGTGTGGGGGCAGGGAATACATGGGCACTCCGTACCTTCTGCTCAATTTTCCCGTGAACCAAAAACTAAAAAATCATGTCTATTGAGAAAAAGGTGCGTACTAGTGTTTCTCAACTGGGGTTGAGTCTGCCCTCCCCACAAACCCCCAGGAGACATTTGGCAATGTATGGAGGTATCTTTTGGTTGTCCTCACTGGGGGAGGAAGAGCTACTGGCATCTAATGGGCAGGGACCAGGGATGCTTCTAAACATTCTACAAGGCAGAGGACAGACCCCAACAACCTGGCCCCAAATGCCAGAGTCAAGTCTGAAAACCCTGATTTAAAACACCAGTTGGGGGGGGGGGCTCAGTCAGTGAAGGGTCCGACTCTTGGTTTCAGGTCATCATCTCAAGGTCCTGAGATCGAGCCCCACATTGGGCTCCATGCTCAGCGGGGAGTCTACTTGGGATTCTCTCTCTCCCTCCCCCTGCTCACCCATGCTCTCACTCTTTCTAAAATAAATAAATATATAAATAAACAAACAAAACACTCGTTTTGGGGGCGCCTGGCTGGCTCAGTTGGTGGAGCATGCAACTCTTAATCCCGGGGTTGTGGATTCGAGCCCCACGTTGGGTGTAGAGATTACTTTAAAGAAAATAAAACTTTTTAGTTTTTTTTTTTTTTAATTTTTAAAAGATTTTATTTATTTGACAGAGAGCGAGAGAGCACAGCAGGGGGAGCAGGAGAGGGAGAAGCAGGCTCCCCGCTGAGCAGGGAGTCCAATGTGGGGCTCGAACGCAGGACCCAGGGATCATGACCTGAGCCGAAGGCAAACGCTCAACAGACTGAGCCGGCCAGGCGCCCCTAAAATCTTTTTAAAAACTAAAAATAAAACAATCATTTTGGGGGACTGCAGATTCCCAGACTCTGATCAAAGCTAAGGCTCCAGAAAACCGCACATTCACAGAAACAATTTATATATAATTCTAATTCAAAGACCACTCATCACCCCTAAAAACTTCTGGTCTTCAGAGATATTCTCAACTGGATATTAATAATAATCTTCCTGAGAACAAAAGCAAAATCAGACAAAAGTAAACCTGGCTACACTGAAACCTTCACCCAGAACATACAGGGAGTCGGAGGAGATAAACTAGAAATTGAGCAGTGTATTATCTAGGAAGAGCGAGTCCTAACTTGGCTGGGAAAGATCAACATGAAAAGATATTGTATCCACCTCCCATGGAGCCTGCTCACACGCCCCAAACCAGTATACTGCTCACAGCCTTGCCCCCAAGGGCGCCAGAGGCATAAAGGCTCCCTCCCCCATAGTCCTCTGTCTGAATGGATCTATTTGAGAACACTAAATAAATACTATTGCAAAATGTTCTAACTCCTATTTTGCATTAATCCCAATGAATTCTAATTGGAAATGTTTCATTATAAATTTCTAGGGCTAAGGACATCTATCATTAAATTAAGAAATGACTAAACGCTACCCAGAAGCAAAGCAACATGGTGAAGCTTAATGACAGCTTGTAAAAAGTTAAAATTAGAGTGAACTGGAGCCCTTCACCTGGGAGTCATCCCAAACCCTGAGGGGTCCAGACAGGACACAGCACCGGAGAGTGAAGAAAACACAGATGCTCCAGGACTATGGGCAATAACAGGGGTGACCCCAGAAAGA